TGGTTTTCATATATATATATAAACAAATATTTGCAAGGGGAGCACTAGAGGTCTTGCTTTAATATACGCTGTAATTGCCTTGAAAAAAAGGTTTTTTAAGGTTAAGTTAGGGTGTTAGGGGTGGGTTAAGAATTTTAATTCATTTGTATTAAAGGTTAAGTTAGATAGGGTTAAGGTTAAGTTGGATACTTAATCTAAGGTAGACTTAGGTTTAAGTTTAGGTTCAGGAATTGTTACATATACATGATTTAATGTTTTTATATGAAGATGAGAAAATATGTGAGTGCAAAGTTGTATTGACTTACTGTGAAAAATGGTTCAATATTAACTCGGTCCACATTTATTTGAAACTGAACTTGTCGGAAAACATCATACGCCTTTTCATTGAAAGGAATTTGTCTTATGGCTGGATGTGGTTCTGGTTCAGTGTAAAAGATATCACTTAGAGGATTTATATGAATAGGTGGATCGCAAGGTTTGGCTTGAATCAGTTTTCTTTCGTCGATAACTCCGTACTAAAAGTTGTTTTTAGATTCAGTCTATGCCAGTGATTTACATCTGTTTTTACACAAATTAAGGACATACCTGATTCATTAACCCACAAGAGATGAGTTGAGAAATTCTATCTTCTATATCGCTAGTGAACAAAACATAGTTAACGGCAAAGTTGTTATGAAGATATCTTTTAAGTACAAGATAAAAATCTGATTTGTTTAGTTTGATTTGAAGAAATTCAAGCGCTGATGTGAACTGGCTGATCGGCATCACTCCTCCACTGCGAACCACCTGTAAATTGTTAATAAAAATTAAATTGTTTGTTACTTTAAATGTCCAATTGTCGGAAAGCCAAAAGTTGATATTGACTAATTTCTTTGGAACCAGCTAAAGCTAGTCATTGGGTAAGAAAGCAATAGTCATTCTTCTAAAATGTATTCTGTATACTAAAGTATATCATAAACATAATACAAATAATTACAAAAAGGCATCAAGATTTAAACTGCTTCAAATTCACTGAACAATGTGAATAATAAAATTTATATAAAATATGTTATGACTGTTGATGTGTTTGTAAAAGAGAAAACTCCCTCCCTCCCTCACACACACTTTCTCTCTCCTTCTCTCTCCTCCTTTCCCCATATCTATCTAGTCTATTAGGATCCTCATCTATCCAGCCAACTCTCTTTATATCTCCCTAACTAAGAGTATATCCGCTGTCTTTTTTTTAATAAACTAGCTTATTTTCTATTATTAATTTGATTTCTCTCTCTTATCACTTCATATTGGTTACGGGCTGTTTGAGTTAGAGTTAGGATTAGATTTTTGAGAAAGTATATTTTCCCTTTTATCACTTCAAATTTCCTGAAAACTGGCAGTACATATCTTTGAAGTACTGGATGATGTATTGTAGTAAGTAGTATTTTTTTGTTTTTGGTTGTGGAAAGAGAAACAAAAACAAAAAAGAACTATTTCCTTTTTTTAAGTAAGGTAGAGTTAGAGTTGGAATTAGGGTTAGAGTGAGGGTTAGGGTTAGGGGCTGGTTGGATTAGGGTTTGGGACAGGTTAGGTTAGGTAAAGTTAGAGTTTTGAGAAATGAGATTTTTCTCTTACCACTTCATATTGCCTGAACACTGGTATGAGGGAAATGTCCATTGCATAAACCCTAGCTGCGATTGCATTTAAAACAGCGTCAAGTTGTTTTTTATCATACCCATCCATAGGGTTTGGACTTCCCAGGTAAGTCTGTTCATTTCCATAACAGTATCTTGGGTGTATTACGGTTTCTATTTAAAAAAAACAAACAAAAAACAATAATAATAAAATATATTTAGAAATATTAATAGCAACTTTTTTTTTGGGGGGGAGGAATTAATCATGGGCAACTTTTTGGATAGTTGTGGTATTTCATCATGCTTGGTAGATGTCTCTATGTACATTTTTTTGTGATAAAAATCAACTTGGAAGAATAAAAAGTTTCGTTTTAATTAAAAATTGTGAGATTGAATTTTTTGATTGCTATAAAAGGCTTTTAATTTACTTTAGTTGTAAACAATTGTTTAAATAATATATTATTTTATGTGAATTTTAATTCATTTTACCGCAATCTAAATCAATGCAATCAACAAATTGTTTGTACAAAACTCTTCCATCTCGTCCTTTATAGAAGTCAGCCAATTCTGTTGCTTGATCCTTTGATAAGCCTATTACATCTTTTAAATGTATCAGGAGAACATTTAAAAATTCACGGTCTAAAATAAAATTCATATTTTGAAAAAATTTGCGTATCACATATGGAAACGGATGAGCTTACATGTAATTACACCTTCTTTTCTCACGTCGAAGAATTCAAAGTAAGGAGCTAGACTTAGAGACCGACTGTACCGATTGAAAACTTCTCGAATCTTACAGATCGTACTCCATATTTTGCCAAGAATTTTTCTGTTCTCCAATCTTGCATTTTCTGCTTGCTCCTATTGACAAAATTCATAGTAAAAAAAAAATAGGCTTTTAAAAATACAAATTACACAGTAGTTATTTTAAGATAGGGTTAAAGTTAAATTTAAGGTTAAAAGGAATCAGCCTGTTTACAGCCTTAAACATGGCCAATGTTGATCTCCATTATTATCTAGAGCTTTTTTCTAGAGTTTATTAAGAGCTCTCGTGTGGCCTTGGATTATCTGGTCCCGATAAAAATCGCAGCCTGCATGGTCCTTCATAACATATGACTTGTTCTGCTGTTTCTTCCTTCATGACATAATCTGTACAGGATTGTTTCTGCTGATCTGAGTCTATATGCCTCTGGAATCTGCAGTGTCCAGACAGAAGTCCTATTATCATTATAGGTGTTTTTTCAGGAACTTACAACTATCTCAAAAAATCCTTTCATTATATCAATATCGATTTCGGGGGCACCAACCTCCCCTCTTCAGTCTTATTTCAAGTTTAGAACTGAATTTTAGAAAATAGATTTCACGCGCTTCTAAAATTGAAACTAGACTGAAGAAGGGAGGCTAGTGCCCCCGAAATCGGTATTGATATAATAAAAGGAAATTTTGAAATGGTTGTAAGTTCCTGAAAAAACACCTAAAAAGATCTTAAAACAAGCGAACAACCAAGAAGAAAAAAGATAAGAATAAATAGTAACATTATGTTTCAAGTTTAGCAATCCTGTTAAGTCTGTCAGTAGTAGGAATCTCAGCCTGCATAGGATTTACAATAGGGGCCATCTTCTGCTGTTTCATCTTCGTCCTGTTGTATTTTTATGCATATGACTCCAGAGTCTGCAGTGTGCAGTAAGCATATCATTCTAGTTTTAACACATCCTATTGTCCTGTTAGTCTCTGCAATGGTCCTTTGATAAACTTTTCCTCATACCTCTGTCCTTGAATACAATCCCATTGAACTGTAGATTTATTCTTGTTTCACTGACGGATCTGTGTTTTTCGCAATTTGACATGCCGGCAAAGGGTTCAGGGCCAAAAGGAGTCCTTATTAAAGGCTTAGGCTCTGTATGCTCTGGTAGCCAAACAAGGGTGATTTAGTGGTTTTCCCCAATGTTTGACAGGGCCTTGAGGCATTTCCAAATGACTTGTTTCTGCTGCTCCGAGTCTATATGCCTCTGGATTGGGCAATGTACATCCATCAGTCCTACTATTCTAGTCCCAGCATCCTAGGTTTAGTAGTCCATTTAGTCTCAGCAATGGTCCTTTTATTAACCTTTTTGCATAGATTTCCTGGAATACATTCCTATGAACGCAAAACTTATACTTAATCCTCTGTCATATAGATCTGGTTTTTGGCAGTTTCGTGTGCCGCAAAATAGTTCAGGGCTAGGATACCTATGAAGGTATCCCCACTAAACTTTCCTTGGCTAGCTTATCAGCCACATAAGCATCTAAGGATTCTTGCTACCAATGAGCCAGTAGTGCCGCCTGGCTGTCTGAGAATTATTATCCATTTGTTAGTAATACCAAGCTTTTTGATCTCCCTGGCCTAGTATTAAATAATCATAGTATCTACCTGAAAGACAGTGGCATATTGCTCAAGGCTGATATTAGGTTAGGTTTGAGTTAGGCAGAGTTAGAGACAGGTTAGGTTGCATATGGGTAGGGTTAGGATACAATGGTTATGGTTAGGGGCGTTAGTAAACTTTTCCTCATTCCTCTGGACTAAAACACATTCCCATTAAACTCAGGATTTCTTCTTAATCCATTATCTGTCCATTGTTTTTTGCAATTTTGTGTGCCACAAAAGGGTTCAGGGCTGATAGGTGTTCTCATTGAACTGTCCTTGGTCAGTTTATCGGCTTCCATGGTAGCCAAATAAGTGTGATGGAGGGTGGAAAAGCAGCATCGGGAAATCTGGGGCTCCCTCGTGCAATGACGATACCAAAGTGACAGTGTGAGAGAAAGAAATATGATGGTTGTTAATTATAAATGTAAGTAAGGAAAGCAGGTAAGGATTGAAGGTAGGAACTAGATCCAAACACAATATCCTGGGACTTTTCTACACTTAACTTAAGCCCATTTTTACAGGCTCATAAGCAAATTGAATTTAAGTTGGCCTGAATTCATACAATTGCAGCTTCTAAGTCAGAAGAGTAGGAAAAGAAAGAAGCAATACTTAATTATTTAATGTATTTTTATGTATGCAACAGCTACAAAAGAAACTTTTTTTGTTGCTAAAACTATTTGCTTGAAACTTGAAAGAATCCATAAGTGATGGGTTAATCTTTAAAAAAAAAGTCTACAATTTGGAGAAAATCATTTGTCTGAATTTTTCATTAATGTTTACCTGACAATAAAATGAATAAAATGTGTATAATCAATTAAAAACATTTTAAACAACTTACCATAGTGGACTGTTCTTAAAAGAATGTTAAATTTGGTTAACAGTGCAATTTTAATATCAAATCAAAGCTTATAATAGCTTGTCCATAGTAGTTTGAAAACACAAATGATTACATTAATGGAATATATAAACTAAAAAATGTTGTTGCCTTAGAAACGATCTGTAATTATTCATTTATTTTAGTTAAACCTTTAAATAATAGAAAGACATCGATTAGAGATTTCTGCCTTGTATAAAGTCATATTAATTTATTATGAACTTAAAAAACTTATTAATCTTTTATATATTTTTCTTTATTTATTAACTTAACATGAAATTAATTTTTGCAAATGGTTTAAACTTTAAAACCTATGGCTATTTTAATTCTTTCAGGTTAAAAAAATATGCCGAATTGTTTGAACTTTATGACATATTTTAATAATTATACTTTTAATGTAAGGTATTAGTTGTGATGAAAAAGTGAGTTTCAAGCGGGATTCGAACCCACGACCTTTGGCTCAATACACCGCTATTCTAACTGCTTGTGCTATCACTCGTGTACTTCTTGGATGAGTTTTATGATTAGTTTAAGAAGCCATGGCTTGCAATATTCTGAAGAAATGGGTCAGATCTAAAACCTCCTTTTCACAGAGACAATTTGTTGAATCATGGATATAAAGATAAGCTCCAACAATAGCCTCCTTAATTTATAAAAATGAACAATCTTCGACCTAATTTGTCAGAAAACAAACGTAAAAGGGAAATTTATCATCTTAAGCCGTGATGTTGGAGATTGAAATTTTGTAGCTTGTCATGTACGATTAGACAATCCTATAAATTTTAAAGCTTTTCAAACTGTTAAATCCAGTTAGGCCAGTATGATCAGATCGTCGGCAAAAAAAGTGATTGAAAATGGATAAAATCAGAAAATTCCAAAACGTAGAGCATGAGGAAGATCAATGAAAAGCGAGAGCAACAAAGTGCTCAGGATGCAGCCCTGTCTAACTCCAGATTCAACTTGAAGCTGAATGAGCAAACAGGGCAGCAGTAACTTAAGACCTTGATTAATGAATGTATAATAGTCTTGTGGATTAGGGTTATGGTCACAATCCACTATCATCACAATCAGACTATTATAGAGTAAAGGCTGGTTGATCGTGTAGAAGAAACAATTAATTATGTTATACTACTTGACCCAGGATGTTAATGATTGAAATTTCACATAGTCTTGAAGGCTTGGACAATCCTATAAAGTTTGAAGCTTTTAGAGCAGTTAAGTCCAGTTAGGCCAGTCTGACCACACTGTCAGCATAAAAGAAATCTTTTAATTGATAAGAGCAGAGAATTCCAAAATCTAGATCGTGAGGAAGGCTCAAAGCAGTTTTTTTTCCACTCTGGACCAGAATGTTTTACTGTCTTTCACTTCAACTAGTTTGTGTTAATAAACATTTGAACTCATTTTTCTTAATTTTAATTGATAGCTAATATTCATTTTTTATATATATTGTGTCCGAAGGAACTCTTCTTTTGAATAATGAGACTTCTTTATTAATTTTGAGCTTTTTTGAAGCTCTTTTGTTAACGGAGCATTTCTGTGAAGGCTCATTGTGTTATCTGTTAATCATGTATATTTGACCATCCCTAAAATATCAGAAGAAATGAAATAGTCAGGTAACAAATAAAGATTAAACTTTATAAAAATATTTATATTTGTACATATGCGTATTTAATAAATATTATTCATAGAACCACATGGATATATTTATATAATATGGTACAAATATATAGTATAATTATGCATACAATTGTATCAATGAAATAGCTGACCCCAATTGCGCATTTCCTTTGTTTTTTGTTTTTTTATTCCTCTGAGCTTCTAAAAACTTTAAATATTTTAAATATCAATTAACCTATAGGAATAAATATAATATAATCTAAAATTATATTCTTTCATAATTGAGGAATAATTTTGTTGCTTCTAAAATAGATAATAAATAATACAAAACTAATAGCAAGCATTATATTCCTTAAGTTAAATGAATAAATATTCTCTATGGTAATTGTAAAAAGGTAAGTGTTAATTTATTTAAGTATTATGTTTTTCCTGAACTTCACAAGTAGGCCTGGAGTGACGTTCTGGGAATATAAATAATACAAAAATTAATATTTACAAAACAATGGAAAATTCATTTTAACTTAAAACTAGCAATCTACCCGAATAAATAAATTATTTAGCGACTTCACAAGTCAGACACTGGAAATACATTTAATGAAAATGCAGCCTTAGAAGTGATAGTTCCGTTTGTTGCTTCAACAGTGTATTGTCCCATGTCGGCTAATGTACAGTCAATAATTTTGAAGGTGTATTCGTTTCCATTTTGTACAAAATTATATTTGGATGATTCCTCTTTTACAACCTTCTCATCTTTCTTCCACAAGACTGTTAAACAAATAATAATTTAAAAAATTACAATTTATGTTTATATAAAATATATCTAAAAACTTATCATGAAATCTTTCTTACCACTTGTCAATGAAGGGTCGACTGAACACTTAAATTCTATGCTTTCTGCTTCACAGACAGTAGCTGATTTAGGGAATGTTTTGAACCCAGGTCTCTTTGCTTCTTGTGGGACTGAAATTTTAAAAAAAAAGTCAAAAATTATAATATTGCCTTGTAAAATAAGACTGTAGCGTTTTTCAAAAATTCCTATGCTTTGACACACACTAATTCAGTAATTATTAGAGAACATGCATTTTTACAAGGCGTTTAGCTAAAATATAGAGAAAAATAGTGCATTTATGACATTCAACGTCTTTTTTTACGGCAAAGGGAAAACTGCAGCTCAGACTGCTAGGAAAATTTGTAATCAGTGGTTTGCTTGGTTCAGAAGCAGAAATTCAGAAAGTGCTTTGGTCGTCCTTCAACCATTGATGATCATTGAAATTCAAGCTTTTTGACAAATCACCCATACACAAAGAAACGAGACATCACAGACTCTTAACGTATCTCATACAAGAGTTCAATGCAAATGGACTGTATCATGATCTGATTTCCCAAAATCTTAAAACACAATGTAAATGGTCCATTTTTAAAAATATTGACAACTTGGGAAGAAAAATGGGCCATTTGTAACAATATTCAGAGAGGAAAATCACTATTAACAACTCCAAAAGCCAGATATTTACATGCCAACTGAGATGAATTTATTGGACTGCATCTCCATTTGTGATTTTTTTTTTACAAAAATACAATGTAAATGGAACATGTTTTATAAAGATTGATAATCGCAAAGGAAATTTTTTTAAACAATATTCAGGGAGGAAAACCACTGTTTACAACTCCAAAAGATGGTATTTACGTGTCAACTGAGATGAATTTATTAGACCACATTGGACGGGTAAATTTATTTATTTATTGGACCACATCTGCATCTGTGATTCCTACCTAAAATGCAACATAAATGGCCCATTTTTTTTTTTTAAACAATTGAAAACTGCAGATGAAAAGCGGAACATTTCACAACAATATTCAAAGAGGAAAATTGCCGTTAATAATTCCAAAAGACGGATTACATCCCAAGAAGGTAATGTAAATTTATTATGAGGTTGTTCCACCCAATTACACCCCTAATTCTAAAGTATATTACGCAATCATGATTAAAGTCAGAAATTGACCTAAAATGACCGGTTAATCGCAAGGGAATTGTTTTCCACCAAGGTAACCTTCGCTTCAGAAATTTTTGGAACTTGGCTGGGATATGCAACACATTGTGCCTTCAGCAATACTTTATTAGCTGGAAAAACTTTGCTGGATATAAGGGCTGCAGAATAATGAGTTCATTGATCAAAAACCTGAAAAATTCTTGGAGGACAAAATAAAAAATACAAAAATATTTCAAAGATGTTAAAACCTAGTGGAACAAAATGGTTCATAAATGGTGGATTTGTTTACAAGTTAAACAAGCTACTGTTTTTTTTTTTTTTTCAAGACTTGATTTAATAACCCTTAATAAAATTTTGTCATTTTAAACTACCAACACTTACCACAGACATTAAGAGTACAACTGCTGAATGATTCTCCATTGTCATTAAATGCTTCGCAAGTATATGTTCCTGCGTCTTCAGGGAATATTTCTGCTATTTTAAGTTGGTAGATATTAGCGATGTTGGTGTATTCGAAATCCTTGCTTGGCTTTATTTCTTTGTTGTTGTGTAGCCATATAACATCAAATTTATTGGCTCCTAAAAAATGAAGAGATGAAATTTATGAAAAATACTCAATTTATTTATATGTACCAATTATTCTGCATGATAGAGTGACAGGATCTCCATCGTTCACATCGGCAGATTCAACATGGCTGACAATTCTGGGAGCTAGATTTTGTCCACTTCCACTTGAAGCTGGTGACTTTTTATCCATTGCTGAAAATTAAATTATAATTAGTAAAAAAAAATCATAGGAATTTATTGAAACTTACGTTTAACTTTAACGTTCGCCTCAGTAGACGTTGATCCTAAAGAATTAGTCGCTGTGCAAACATATTTCCCTTCATCCTCAGGGAACACTTCATTGATGGTAAGACTAGCAACTCCATTTCTATATTTAAGGTCGACAACTGCTGATGAACTGACATGCTGAAATATTTCAAATTGCATTACATTCTTATGATATGATTGTTATTATTTAAACTTACCTCTCCATTCTTTGACCAGGAAATTTGTGGTTCAGGATCGCCATGAACGGTGCATGTTAGATTTAAAGTATCTCCGTCATTAACTTCTACATTTTTCAGCGACTGAGTAAACTTTGGCGGTGCCATTGTGTCATCTGGCGGTACTGTAAATTTAAAAGTGTAAAATTCATAACCTAGTAACTACTCGCTATTAAGTATTTATATATTTAACTTAATAGGTTCTATTTTTTGTATAAAATATGCACATTGTTAACAATATATTATTATATTGTAGGTCATATTGTGATGGGAATCAGAGGAGCCAGAATCCATGAGCTGTTCTTCAAGGTTCTTTCCTCGAACCCACACAGTTTTTTGTATATTTTACCAAACTACAATGATGATATCGCTCTCTATTCTTCCTCTTGGGGGATAGAATATTGAACAAGTTTCTGCAAACTTCAGAAAATTAATTAGAATAAAACAAAGGCAATGGTTTTCAGCAAGTGTAGACTTTTAGACAAGAAAAGTTCCAAATAGGCCTTGTTTTCATTTTTGTTGTTCTGTTGCAATTCTATACCCTCGGTTTACTCGGAATCCTAGGTTATGTCTTCATTGTGCAGTGGCTTCATATTCAAAGATATGGATGGTAATTTTTTCCTCCTCATTGCATAAACTAAAAAATAAAATAGTCCAGGTTTCCCAACCAAGCGACACTGCAGCTGGTGTTCCTCAAGGCTCTTTCCTTGGACCCATACTGTTTTTCCTATATCTCAATAAAATACTCTAACAATATGGCTCTCTACTCAACCTCTTGGAGGAGAGATACTGTATTAAATAGGCTAGACAATGTAATGCCCTGCAGGATGGGCAACCTTTGAAAAATTTCAATTAAGTTGTGAAGTCAGTCTAATATCTTGAGAACTTAGTGGACCATAAACAAGGGAAAGCAGTAGCATACTTTCCCCTCTAATAAGTTGCCAGTTTAGGCTGTCACAAACTAATAAACTTCTGTCTGGTGTACAAAGAGGTGGTCAGGCTCCTATATGCATGCCCTCAAGGAAGTCTCACATGTGGGCCTAATATTATATTGACTAGTTCAGTTCAATTGACTTGATATTTATTTTTTAGTAGGTCCTTTGTCATTGCCACACTACTTTTCCTCGAGTTTTTTTGGTACTCTAGGTTATGTCACCCTTGAATGGTTCATACACAAAGATGGATGGCAGTTGGCATAACCTACGAATGGAGTTACTGTCGATGTTTTCTTGGATGCCAGTGATCATCTTACAATCTTTTCACTCTCTGGAGTTTTACTCTAACTGTAGTGTTTGCCAGTTTTACCGTGCCTGGCGACCCTAGAGTTGTGTATCCGTTCTAAGATGGAAAACTGCAGGCTGTGCAGAACAATTTTCTGAGGCTTATATACTGTATACTGTGAACTTGTAGGCTAGAATTTTTTAAGCAATGCAAGGTTACTACTGGTACAGTATGCTGCAAAACAGAACGACAACAGGTCACAAAAGAATAAACAATGCAATTTGGGTTTTTGTCTAATCTTTTGTTCTGATAGCAAAGTAATGTTATTTAATCATACAAAAGCATGTAGTTTCATCTAAGTAAGTAAAAATCTGGCGTATTTTTATTTTTATTATTACAAATGTAAGGACATGTAGTTAAAGGCATGTAAGTTACTTACATATCAGTTCTTTAGTTGTACTTCTAGATCGAGAAGGGCTGCTTGCTGAATCAAGACCCTTTGCTCCATATTTCTTCACAGATTTCCCATCTCCACTTAATGGTTGACTTAAAGCTTTTGACAACTAAAACAAAGAAGAGAAAATTCACGTCGATTTTGTAACACATTTAAACAAATATTTACAAAGGTAAACAAATATTTTACCTGTGAATTGTCCATGGATGGGGGCTTAACCATCGGCCCACCAATCATGGTTCTTGTGGTTATTACAGCTGGTGCCGGTCGGATGGGTTGTTCAATATATTTCCTGTCTGTAATAACAATAACAATATTTGTTGCATATATATAATTCATGTTCATAAGAAGATGAAAACTTTTTATGAAATGTTACTGCTATTTATCACAATACTTACCTCCTGAGTGCATTAATTTGTGAACAAGTTGTTCCTGCTCTTCGGTTTGAGAGCTTCCTGAAATTTTGAAAGTACAATTAAATAATATTGAGAATTTTAATTGAAGTACGCTGGATACAAATTCAAAGCTGCTGAGACGCCTTAACTGCGGCCACTGGTTGCATATTTGTAATAGTAAATTAAACTATTCACAAAGAGAAGGAAGCTTAATTCACTAGTACAAAAGCTAATTTGGAAGATGACACAATACAAAAAGAAAATGGGAGTATAAAACACGGGATATCAAACAAGATCGACGAAAGAAGTTACAAAGATTGGTGATTTGCATACACCCAGAGGAAATAAAACCTGACCTGAAAGGAACCAATAATAAAATCCTAAAATTGAGAGGTCTTTGGAAGAATAAATATTCTGAAAATAATAGAGGGGTCTAATTTTGATGGATCTAACAAGCTAAAATTGAGCATGGAGCAAGGGCAGGAGTCAAAGACATAAATTTTGACTTGGTGAAACTTGTAGGCCACACACTATCAGTTTTCAAAGCTGAGATTATCTGGTGACAAGAAATACTCAAAAATGGACGAAAAGTTGGAAAGATATTCCTAGACAGCTAAGCAGTACACGAGGCAAATCCTCCAACTTCAATTCCACTGGTCTGTGTCTAAAATATCTCAAGCTCCTAGAAAAAAAATCAGGTAACTCTGATGAGGCTGGACATGGTGGGATTGATGGCAGCAAACAGGCTGACTAGCAAAAACAGGAGCAGCTGTCAAACCCTTTGGACCAGAATGGCAAAAGCCACAAATACTCTAAAGCAGAACTGAACAAATGGATGGAGAAAGAAATGTCACTGGATTATTTCACCAGGTGGAAAAATAATCCAAGAAGTTCTTCAAGATTTCAACCAGGAAAACAAAAATCTACTACTTTCTCAGTAGGCAAGAAGTTATGAAAAAGCAGAAACATCAGAACATGTCCTAATTGAGTGCAACGTATTTAGTCCGGAAACAGTACTCTCTCTTCAGAAAGGCAGTACTAATGCCTATAGAAAAAAAAACTGATCGTGCTCTTTTCATGGTTTGGAAATAAAGAAGGGTCAATTGCATCCTAGAGAAAAGAAATATGCTGTTAAGCCCATTGATAATGAGATTTAAAAAAAAAAGGTACATTCTTACCTTAAGGTATTTTTCTGATTTTTACATTTCTTACATAAAAGCTTACCTTCCACAATGACAACACATGATGTTTCATCTGTACCATGTTTGTTACTCGCAACGCATTTATATTTGCCAGAATCCTCAGGTTTGCAGTCCATTATTTCCAATGTAATTACACCATCAGTGTGTGACATGGTGTACTCGAGTCGTGACAATTCACGGTTCCCTTTGAACCATTTGACCTGAAATTTTACATTGACAAAAAATTTGAATAAAAAGAAATAAATTATGATTTGAATTTTATGTACCGAAGGGAAAGGCTTGCCGCTAAGACAGCAAAGAAGTTTGCACGTTTGGCGACACTGCATCACACGAGGTCTTAAAAGGAATGTGAAGCTTGGAGCAGATTCAACTTCTTCTTTCCAGAATGTATAAGGAAGTGGTTCTCTCCTTCTCGTTTCGTCTGGTTTGTACATAGGTACTTGCTTGGGTAGAGCTAAAAACACAAAAATATTTTGTATTGGCTTTTCAATAATCGCAAACTAAATAAAAAAAACTTACGTTGAACATTCAAAAATACTACTTCTTCTCTGTATCCATAATGATTTTCAGCTCTGATAATGTATTCTCCTCTATCATCTAGTTTAACTCTGTTGATGATGAAGTTGTAGTTGTCATTTCCGTACCTCTTCATAAACTTAACACTTTGCTTGAGCTCTTGGTTGTTGTGGTACCAAGTTATAGTCGGCGCGGCGATGGCAATGACTCTGCAGTAAAACTTAACACTCTGCCCTTCATATGCAAAAGCGCTTTGTGGTTTAATGACAAATCTTGGAGCCGCTTGTCTACGGTCTGAAACGTTAAAAAGATAATTGGATATTAAAAATTCAGGTACTATTCAATATGATGGATTAAGGGGCGAGGAGGTTATGATGCTATAGTCTTTCAAGGTGACATGGTAGGTTCTCAGAATGGGAAAGTGTAGAAACAGCTTGGGAAATAGGGTTAGGATGGATCAAGAGTTGCCATGGAACTTTTGGAAGTAGGATCAGTTCATGGACAAAAGCAATGTTGAGGTAATAGTGAGGTTAGGGATATAGTAAGGAGCTTTAACCATTCGTCTAAGGATTTTTGTCTGGAAGGATAAGATCAGATTCGTGTGTCTAAATAGGTAGCAGTGATAAGACAAACCAAATAAAGTTGGCACTTAATATGAAAGATTAAGGAGCGAGGATGTTTTGAGGCCATCATCTTTCAAGGTGACATGGTGGGTTCTAAGGATGGTAAAGTGTAGAGACAGCTTGGGAAATAGGGTTAGGATGGATCAAAAGATTTCTGTGGAACCTTTTTAAGCAGTATCAGGTCGTTGGTAAATGGAATGAATATTGGGGTCATTGTGAGGTTAGGCAAGTAGTAAGGAGCTTTGAGAATTTGTCTGAGGACTTTTGTCTGGAAGGATCGGATTCACTGGATGTTGGATGACTTGGCAAACCCTACAGTTTCACTCTCTATGTCCAAATTGGTCACAGTAGTTTCTTGTGTAATATTGGTTGAATTTTGACAGTCAAAACAGGTTTCAGTTCTAAACGTCTTCGTAGTTGTGTTTTCTGTTAAGTCTTGTGTGGAGATGTTAGTTTGTCATCTACGTACAGTCCTAAGTATCTGACGAGTAGTTTTTGATGCATCTTTTTCCTAGTTTAGCCTACTACACTTTTTATTCCAGTCTTTGATCATTTCAAGGTGTTCTTGGATGTTGAAGATTGGAAGATAGTTCATACTATCTTTTAAAGTAGTCGAACAACTCATCCCACCTTTATCATTTCTATTGATAAAAATTGTGGTATCATAAGGTGGTAATTATGGTATTGAGATTTATAGAAAAGTCACCAGTATAAATGGTATAAACGATGATACCAAAAATCTTATGATTTATTACCTGATATCTGAGTATTTGATTCAAATATTACAAACACTTACCAAATGATGTATCATGAATGCAGTATTTGTCAATCAACAGTTTTCTTAGTGCACTATATTCTGAGAGTCTGCCAATAGCAACAGGATATTGATTCCATTGATCGTACTTCATTCTTATACGATCTCTGAAGTCGATGTAACGAGATGAGTTAATGGCAGAGGTCTTATCGCTGTGATCACCGACGAGCCATGGGTGAAGCAAACACTCATGAGCTGTCATTCTCTTCCTGTTTAAATATTGTAAATTAGTAACTTGGATATTGTTTTTTATTTATGATTTTTTTACTCTTTGTTTTTGATAAGCAATCGCCTGATGAAGTCTTTTCCTTCTTGGGACACACTTGAAAACGCATCTTCGTCAAAGTCCCATTCACACGCTTTGACATTCTTTAGTGTTTCAACGTCATTATCTCCGGCGAAAGGTGATAGTCCGCTTAGACTGCGAAAAAATATTTTTAATCAGTAAAATATATAGAAATTGTGTCAGTTTAAACTTACAGGACATAAGCCAAGACGCCGACTGCCCACATATCTGTGTAGAAACCTACAGGCTCTCTTTCGACAATTTCAGGAGCTGCGAATTCGGCTGTTCCGGTTGAAATCTTAACGACTTCGTTCGGATCTAATTTAGTCGCGAGTCCGAAATCGATCAGCTTAACGTTGGTACTGTGTTTCGTCTGGCACATGATATTTTCCGGCTTGATATCTGTAAGGTTAAACATGAAATGTAAAAACAGTCGATTTAAAAAATGTCAGAAAATATCCTCTTTTAGGTACCTAAATGAATAATATTCTTCTCGTGCATTTGTTTGATGGCTTCACAAATTTGTCTCATGTAATTAATCACTTCAGCTTCAGACATAACATAACCCTCTGTTGTAATCCTTTCAAATAGTTCTCCACCAGACAAACTATAAAAAAAGGTATATTTGTATCTAATCTCGTTCTGATCAACTTTTTTTCTGCATACTTACAATTCAAATATAAGAACCATTTCATCATCGTCCTCAAAGGCGTCGTGTAGATTGATTAATTTTGGATGATGCAGTTGGTTCATTATATCAATTTCTTTTCTAATCAGTTCTTTTTCCATCGGGTGTGAAACAGGTATGAACTTGGCGGCGAAAATGTTTCCAGTTTTCCTTTCTCTACAACGATGGACTACACCGAAAGCTCCTGTACCAATCTCTTCCAAAATATCGTAGAAATCATATACGGAAGCTGTTTTAATATCAACTGGCTGTGGTACATATTTGGAGTATATGTCAAATACTGCACAAAAAAGTATATATGTTAGCAGCAGTCTTTATGTTAAATATAATAATTTAATTTTCTAAAAATTTATAATAGTAAATTAATTACCATATAGGTCATAGTCTTTAACAGTATCATCACATTTTCCTCTGATCTTTTTGCCTGTTGAATCGACTGAAACAAAGAACAATTGAAAAATGTATTAGAAATAAAATATAAAACAAATGAAAAGCCTGTATCATTTTTCATCAATTATTGATTGTGAATGTATGGGTTTGAAGATAGTGAGAAATAGAGCTCTTTTACTTCATGGAACACAGACAGAGCTTTTGATAATTCTCCGACTACCAGCTGGATATTAGCATTGCTAACAAGTCGAATAAACGCTGAACTTGATCTAGACTATATGCACCTGCACTGACCCTGAGAAGGAGTACTTCACCACTTCTATGGTTGCTAGTAGTACATGATCTAATAACTTAAAAGCACCCACTCGAAAAGATGAAGCAATAATCTTCTCCAGAGAAGCTAAGTACTTACCTATACACAATGATCAGACTCCTGGTAGGACCTCTAGTCTAATAGTTAAAAATGCAGATACATAAAACAAACTGAAAATATTTAGCAAGATACTTGTCCAGAGTCGATCCCACACCCTTACACATTTATGTACGAAAGGTCGAGAGTGTCAAGAGAATCCAGAGATATAAATAAAAAAACTAGATGTAAGGAAAAGCCATCACAAAAGTCTAAAATGAGAGGAAGACTCAACTTTGACAGTTTATTCACTACCCAGAATTACTTTGTACCTTGACACTCAAGATTTGGTTGTTATAATTTCCAAAGATTTGGAGGTTTTGGCCTTTGGGTGTACATATCGAATATTTTGGGTGTGAAATTTTTACATGCTAATGCTTCTAGGGTCATTTGGCCATCTGATCTTATAAATATTTATTTTATCAGAGTAACATCACTTAAGATTTTCCATGGCACAAGCCTTAATAGCATGTATTTCAGCCTAAAAGATCAAGTTTTGGGCCCCTAGGAGAACACAACATGGTAACCTTGGCATCGCAGGAAACGAACAGGCTGACCAACTAGCCAAAGGGCCTTCTGACCCATGGTAACCACGACTAATCACCTCAGAAGGTTGGAGCTGAAAAAATGGCTTGAGACAAATAAAACTCAAGCACTAGACAACATCACTAGGTATGAGGCAGTCGAAGAGATTCATAAATCTCTAAAAAAGAAGGCAAAATAAATACTTTTGTACTGGCCACTGTTTCTTAACTACCGCCTAAAGAGATGGGCAAAGCAGAGACAGAATGTGACAACTTTTTCAGAAGTTGGCATCAGAAGAAACCAGAGACATCGGTACATCTTCTTTAGAGAATGTAAAGCTGAAAATATGGCTTGAGAAAGAAAAATTCACTGGATAAAAAAGCATTAAATATGAGGTAAGCTAAGAGGCTTATAAGTCTTGCAAAAAGGAAGACAAAAAGGAAAATAAAATATTATCTAAAGTAATAATATTATCTAAAGTAAATATTGAATTCTTGAGGACCAGATATTTGAGCTCTGAAGATGGTGAGAAGCTGAAATGTGACAGACAGGTCGAAATTGCAAGGATGGCAAACCAAAATGATCAGATATTTCATACAGATTCAGCTTAAATATTATTTGTAGGAGACCCCGGTGGCTGAGTGGTTAGAGTCTGACTCGTATTTGCCATGCTCGCCGTCTGGGTTCGAATCCCAGCATAGCCCATGGTTTTTTAATTGAAAATGGCATGAAAAATATTTTGTAAAGTGGTTTGACCCCTCGTCCGCAACACCCAACAAATAGTTAGACATTAAGATAGGAATTACTTTGCTTAAATATTATTTTTTACTCATAAAACAGTAGTTTGAAAATTATTCAGAAATCGTGAGATGCGGTCAGGTGACCAACCGCATTTCACGATTTCTGAATAATTATCGATTAACGATAACTAATCACCACACACAATAGTTTGAAACCTGAAGAAAATATATTCTAAGTAAAAATGATTAAAACTGAGGAGATTTCTTCTCTTGGGAAGGGGGAAGAACAGGTAGTTGGTCATTTCCGGTCATTTTGGTCTATTCATGCTGTTATGGTCTATACGGCACATTTCCGCTACTTGCCATCTCCATTGGTGGGGTCTACATACCCAACAGGAGAAAAAAAAAAAGCTAATTCCTTCTCCCTCAGCAGGCAAGATTTAAGGAAAATTTACCCCTCTTAACTTTAACCTAAAGAAGACCTCGCCAAGTCGCCGTCATGAGACACCAGAGACATGGACACAAATCCTTTATAATTGTGATGCATTGGTTTGTATTCTCAATTCTTTGGTAAGGTGATTCTCACACCAAGAGAATTCATGAAGAGGCGCTGAAAAAAGTACTTAATTTTTTGGGAAAACACACTTCATGGACTTAATCATAGGGGTTCCACAATAGATCACAGTCGAGAAAAACTGTTGTTTGCGATTGATTGAAGTCCAGATGAAGTAACCATGAAGTAAAGTAACCATTTTATTGTATACAAAATTAATATAATATTATGAACAACTTGTCAACTGACAAAGTAATTGGAAGAGAAGTGCCTAACAGATCTTTTTAGCTGACGGGTCAAACAATTTACTGCTTGATATTGTTTTTCTCTAATATCTAAATGAAAATCTCACCTTCGTATTTCTTCTGTTTAGGCGCTTTTTTATGTGTTCCTTTAGTCTTAATGAGTTCAGTTTCATCGCTGGGATCACTTCTGCCATAAACGTTTTCAGCGTATACTCTAAAGGTGTATTCATGCCCTGGCGACAAGTGTGATACAGCCAATGCCGTAAATCTGGAAATATTTAATAAAATATATATGAAAGTGAAAAGAAGTATTGAGAATTTTCAGTTTAAAAAAGTACCTTGTATGACCAACACGAATCCAACTGGTCATCGGTGTTTCTCTCTTTTCGACTAAATAGTTTGTAATGTTGCTTCCACCGTCCCACAATGGCGGTTGCCAAGATAATGCAAGCGAATCGGTTCCAAGATTGGTAACTGTCGGGAATCTCGGTGGATCAGGACGATCTATAAATTATATTATCGACAATTAATACCTTAATAACAATTACATCAACAATAATTAAAGTGATGGAACATGTGTCAAATTTTTTAAAATCTATATATAAAATATATATATTATACACAATTAAGATATGATTCTTTGGTTTTGGATAATAGTTGGGTACCCTATTCCAATTTTGGAGGAAAAAGAACTGTTTTATTGTATCGTCCTCAAGTAGAGAAAGGTTATTCAATGTGTTTCAAATAATTTAATTCATTCTTTATTATATGGCCCCATATAGGGAGCATGTAGGATACCTGATCTGAAAATTGCCTTTTGCAGCGAATATTTGGGTCCCCTGTTCTGGTTTTTAGAAGAAAAAGGAATTTATTGTATGCCCCTTGTGGAGAGGAAGGTTGCTCGATGCATCCAACATAATTGAGCTCATTCCTTGGCTTCATATAGGGAGCGTATAGGCCACCTGACATGAAAATTGCACTTGAGCCGAATATTCAGGTTACCTGTTCCGAATTTTGGAGGAAAAAGAGCTTTATTTTATACTCTTTGGGTAGAGAACGGTTGTGGAACGGAGAAAGGAAATGTCCCACTTAATTGCAATGTGCCATTCCTTGGCTCCATATAGGAAGCATGTAGGCAGGAAAATTGTACTAGATCAGTGAATATTTGTGTCCCTTGTTCTGATTTTTGGAAGAAAAAGGTCTGTTTTATTGTATAGCCCTTGAGTAGAGAAAGGGTGGGGAAAGGAAATGTCCTAATTATTTACAGCTCCTGGAGTCTAATTTTGATTGTGGGATGGAAAAGATCGAGGTCTAACCCTGGATTGCCAAAACACTGATGTCGGTGACTCTCTGAGCAAGATCGTTTAAACCATTTATAATAAAGTTATAATTTATTATTACTAGAATGATTGATATTTAATACACAAACTACATACCACTGATTTGAATTGTAATTGTCGCTGAATCAATTCCTTGGTCGTTTTCAGCCACAACTCTGTACACTCCACTATCCATGTTGCTTCCATCTCTTATTGTTAAAATAGCATGACGCTCCTGTATAAAACATTTTCCGGATTATTATTTGGTCTTTATTGAGTGAAATGTTTGCTTTTAGAAATACCTTCACTTCAACAGCATAGTGACCACCGGATTCGATGTGTTCGGCTCCCTTGTACCATGTTATCTTTGGTTTTGGATAGCCAGTAAATGGAATTTTGACAACCACATTTTCTCCTTTGTTGAAGAAGGCCAAACTTTGGAACCTAGGAGGTACGCTAAGTTTTGGGGCACCTGGAAGTAAAAGTTTGTAAAAAATCTTCATATTGACTTGTTAAAAACGCAGAACTTACTGTTAATGACCAATTCTGCCCTTGTCGATTTAACTCCTCCTTTGTTCACTGCACGACATACATATTCATCTGCGTCAGTGACTGCTACATTGTTGATAATAAGAGTGTGCGTGTCATGATCAGAGAACATGAAGTGGCGTGCACCAGGAGTAATATTGTGAGCACCTTTGTACCTATTTTTACCAAAAGAGCATAAAATAATGTAAATCATAAAAATTATTTTAATAAATTGATATGAAATTTCCTACCAAGTGATTGTAGGTTTGGGATTTCCCGTAATAACACATTGGAATTGAGTATTATGTTTCAATATTGCATTTGCATTTCTCAGCGGTTTGACAATTTCAGGCGGTGTAGCAGCTAAAAGTTATATCAATAAATAATTTATATTATACCAACCACAACTAATAAAAGTTTACCTTGAGGATCTTTTATTTTAACATGTTTCGAAGCAGTCGAAGGTTCACTTAGGCCTGCATCGTTCTGAGCATAAACTCTGAACTCGTATTCACGATTTTCAATCAGATTTGGAATGTTTATTTGAGTAGGAACGCAAATGGATACATTCACTCTTTGCCATGTGTTACTATTGACTTCGTGTTTGTCTACCCAGTAACCCTGGATTCTCGATCCACCGTCAGATGCTGGTTTGTCCCAGCTGAGATTCACAAAATCGCCTCCGACTTCCGTTACAACCGGATTTTGTGGTGCTGACGGTGCATCTGAAAAATAAAAAACAATGCTTTAGTTATATCATCGAGACGAAAGACAATGAGTTACTGTTAAAAACTAGTATAAAATTTGAATTTTACAAAAAGTCATTATTGTTTGGATTCAGCAGTGAGGACGCCATGTGAATCGCACATATAGAAAAAAAGGAAAAAAACATGTTAGGAAGATTGGCAGTACTGCTGGATCACAATGACCAACGAAAAAGAAAGAACAATAATAACTTGATTGCAAATAGGCCACACCAGGCTGACACATGACAAGGTGTGACCCACCACAAGTCTCAAAGTACTTTTGAAACACAGAAGTGATTTCATCAAGAAATTGATTGGATACATGAAGCAGAAATATAAATATAGTCCCAATTTAAGACTCATTCATATGTGTTTCTTATTGAGTGAATGTATTTATTAGCATGAATGTTTTGAGTGTGTGTGGGCTGGTTAGGGATGGTAGTAGCCCAAATACCAGCCAAAACAGATTAGCGTAATATCAAAGACTCTAGTGACTTGCCAATTATTTTTAACCGTATATACTGATTGAAAGGTTTCTTTTTTGTGTGAATATATTTATTACCTTGAATGTTTTGAGTGTGTGTGTGGGCTGTGGTGGAATATAGAGTACACCACAGACCCACCAAAGTAGATTTGCATAATGTCAAAGACTCCGGTGACTCATCAATTCTTTTTAACTTTATATACTATTTGGTAGGTTTCCTTTTTGTATGAATGTATGTAGGTGATGAGTCAAAAAGTGACGATACCCCTAGAGACGGAAAAAGGAAGACAAACCAGATGTACAGAAGTAGTACCGTCTGCAAGTAGTTTATCAAAGTCAAATATGCATATATCTGAAGTTCTGATGTATTTGTATTATTCAGTTAATTAAAAAGTATTAAAACAGTCTCGTGGATACTTTACTTCCACATGTATTTATTAGCTTGAATGTTTTGAGTATGTCTGGATCTGTGGTGGAATACAGGGTATCCCACAGACCCACCAAAGTAGGTTAGAGTAATATCAAACCGGTGACTTGCTTGTGCTTGCTAATTCTTTTCAACTGTATATACGGTTTAGAAGGTTTCCTTTTTGAATATATGTATTTCTTACCATGAATGATGGTGGAATCTCAATTGAATATTGAGTACCTCCAGTACCACCAAACTTACATGATGTACATTGTAGTATGTCTGTTTTTAAATGTATTGTTTACATGATCCTTACATCATATCCTTATCACCATGTGTGGAAGGGTTAAGTGTTTTATGTGGAACAATATCCCACAATTTCCATCCATGACTGTAAGTTAACCAGTACGTACCAAATGGTGCCTTTGCTTTCACAACATTAGCTCCTTCTAATGGAGGTCCCATGCCGTTGTCATTTACTGCCATTACTCTGAACAAATATTCATTTCCTTCGGTAAGGCCGTGGCAGGTAAAGGTCATATCTCTACACAACGATGAAACGCATATCCAGTGAGTACTCGTCACGTCCCTCCTTTCAACGACATAATGCGTAATGTGGAGGCCACCGTCATAACTTGGAGCTTTCCAGGATAAAGTGCATGTATGTTTTGTGATGTCTGATACATCCAAAGGTCCATTAGGTGCATCTGGTATACCTAAAAGTTGGACAAATATTTTTTTAATAGTATATTGTTGTTTAGTTAATTTTTTTTTTCAAATTAAATATGCTTTACCTGTTATATAAACATTGCATGTTCCACTTGCACTTCCACTTTCATTTTTGATAGTTACTGTATAAAGACCGCAATCTTCAGTTTTAATTTCTTTAATGAAAATTACAACATAATCATCGAATACAACATATTTAATATGTTCTGTTTGTGTGACTTCCTTTCCGTCTTTTTCAAGATAAGCTTCCATAGGTTGATCACCAGAGTAGAACACTTTAATTTTGCTATTATCACCTTTGGCCAGGTAGAGTGTGCCTGGAATTCTATCAATTCTCGGAGGACCTGAAATAAATAAATAGTATAGGTTTGTTTTATATTAAAGATTTTAAATGTATGCTTACATCCAACTTTAACGTGTGAAGTAGTAGTGGCGTGTCCTGCAGTATTGTAAGCTTCACATGTGTAATCCCCTTCGTCGAGATCAGAGACTTCTAAGAAGTGTAGTTTGAAAACTCCGTCGGATGCTTCAGCCTTGAATTTAGAACCAAGCATGATTTCTCTTCCGTTTTTAAGCCAGCGAGCAGAAGGAACGGGGTTTCCATGGGCTTGACATGTAAGAGTATAAGGCTTTCCAAAAGGTATAACTTGGTTGTATAGCGGCATAAGAAATTCGGGTTTTTCGCCACCTTCAGTTTCACAAATTTTAACTGGAGTCGTACAAGAGCTCGGTTCACTCTTTCCTACGCTATTGAAAGCTGTAACTCTAAATTCATAATCAGCCCTTTCGATAAGATTGATCGGTGTAAATTTGCATTCTAAAACATTGTAGTCATTGCATTTAACCCATGATGTACTACCGATTTCACGTTTTTCAATGATATAGCCCATAATTTTAGATCCACCATCAGAAGATGGTGGCTCCCATTTAAGATCGACGTAACTCTTTCCAACTTTAACGACAGTAGGTGTGCCTGGCATTGATGGGACTTTCATCTTTCCTTTAAGGTGGAAGCCAGCCGAGTTCTGAGATGGGTTGCTAAATCCTGCAGCGTTCTTAGCTTTAACGCGGAATTCGTATGTATGGCCGAGTGTCAATGTATGAACGACATATGTTGTATCTTTAACGAGATAATCGTGGACCGATCGCCATTGATGATCATCAGACGTATCCCTAAAAACATTTAACATTTTGTAATGAGGATATTAAGTTGAATTTAAATTTATTTCAGTTACCTGACTTCAATTTTGTATCCTTGTACTTTTGAACCTCCATCATATCTTGGTCTAGACCATGTGAGAGTGACACTGCTTGTGTCCCAGTCGATAACTTGTGGTGTTCCAGGTGGTTCAGGAACAGTAAACGGATATTTAGCAGAAATGGCATTGTCCATTTCAACAGGATCAGAGGTACCATATTGATTTTCTGCTCGGATTCTAAACTTGTACTTTTTGTTTGGCTCAAGTCCAAATACATCATAATGACAGTTTCTTACGAAGCTGCTCAATTTTGTCCATATCTTCATGAAACAAACATATATTAATTTTATTCAATTTTTTCTCATATTGTTATATAATCTTACATTAGTCGAACTCTCCAACTTTTCAACGACATAGTTTGTAATAGGAGAGCCACCGTCATCGAGCGGCGGTTTCCATGTAAGATTGCATGTCTCAGGGGTAATGTCGGATGCTTCGACTGGTCCTTGTGGAGGCAACGGTTTATCTATAATTTACACATTATTAATAATTAATTACATATGAGTACAATTAAAGATGTTGTAAAACCAACTAAAAAAACTACTTGGAAACTTTAAAAGGAAAATTTCTCTCGATGGCATTCCACAAATTCTATTAACTAGCAAAAAAACTTTGATCTTAAGGTAGAAAGGCAGTTAAGGTGGTTTCAATGCCCTTGTGGGCTTGACTGATAACAGAATAAAAAGAAAGTTAACATGAGCTTTGGCATCGGACGATTAGACAGCACCCCCCCCCCCTAATGACCCCCTAGTCGGACAAATCAAACCACAACCAGATGTACTAAACATTTTTATTCCAATGTTTCATTACCTAATGATTAACTAATAGGATCTAGCCAAGGATGTCCCCAAGAGGAGATGACAATCATAAAGCTCAACAGCTTAGGATATCTAACATAGGTTACCTGATGATTGGTAACAATCATAAGAAAAACGTTATGACACTGTTAAAGCAGGTACAACGTAAACATCATGGAAAGATGTGAGAAAATAGGTTTGAATATCAACTCTAAGAAAATATTTCTCATAGTCAACAACAAGAAGTTAACCTTTAATCACCCACTTTAAAAGAAAGAAGCTACAACCTTCACCAAAGATACTGAGTACCTAGGTACACTTGACCAAAGTCTCAGTGGAGAAGTCATATCTAAGCAACTATACTAAGCATTGGCCATAGGTTATGCAGCAAAAACTGGGGAATAAAACTCAGGATGGAGTATTGGTCATACACCATAATGGTTGACCATCTCTGCTATGTGCATGCTTTTAGTTCCAGACTGGTCTGGTAGTACATAAACTGTTTAATGGCCCTAGGAAAACACAAGGTTACCTTGAGGTTCCAGAACTTGAAAGTGTAGAAGGAGACATACAAGCTGACAAACTAGTCATAAAAGGAGCACAACTAGGTACACCAGAGGGTGTTCTAAAGCTGGAGCTAGAAAAATTGCTTGATAAACTCAAGAACTAAACAAAAGCACTGTATGAGGTGGAAGATTTATTTGGAACTCTCTCTCAGCAGGCAAGATTTGAGGAAAATTATAGGCTTCTATACAGGACACTGCCTTCTTAACTACTGCCTAAAGAAGATGGGAAAAGCAGAGACAGAAACATGCCAATTATGTCAAACTAGAACATCAGCACCTTTGGATGTCATATGGTACAACCACTTCGGTGAGGCAATTCTCACACCAATTCTTTTTTTTTTTTTTTTTAATTAAATATACAATTTTCTATATATTAATGAAATGTGTACTCACCGACAACAAGTACTCTACATGTAGCCGAATCTGAGCCTTCAGAATTGATAAGTTGGATTGTGTATGTTCCTGAATCGGTAGACCGCTTGGCACATTTATTCCTGAAGACAGTCTCGGTGGAAGATGTTTCAAATTTGATCCTGCTGTCTGAATAGACTTCTTCATTATTGACAAACCAGACCGGTTTCGGCGTAGGAATGCCGACAAATGGTACTGTGATTGTGAACTCTTCTCCTGCTATGACAGTCATGTCTCTTATGCTCAAGTCGCTTGTGATTTTGGGAGCACCTAAATATAAAATAATGTGATATAAACATTGGCTTAAACAGTATCAAACATTAAGTGTTAAAATATTTACATGGAGGTGTTCTGCACCAAATTCCGTCTGAGGATGAACTCCATGGGCTTTGACCTGCAGCATTAACAGCTGCCACTCTGAACTCATATTCATGGTTTGCAATCAAATTTGTCACCCTGAGTTATAACAACAAAATTATATTACACAATATTGTAATTGCAGTTTTTTTATGATTCCAACTCACTTGTGATTGTTTGTTGGTACCAAAGCATGGGTAGCCTTTGTCCATTTATCCTCTGTAATTAACCTCTTTTCGATTAGATAACCAGTAATCGGTGATCCGCCGTCGTGCCTTGGTTTGGCCCATGTAAGTGTGATCGATTCCTCATCAGCTTCAACACACCGAGGTGCACCGGGAGCGCCTGGTGGATCTGAAAATTTCAATTTATTACAATTAGAGTTTTTTTTTTAAATATATTTAGTTGATAGAAGTTACCAAATGGATGTCTGGCTCTGATTGGATCTTTAGTCATTGTAGGATCTGACGTTCCATAATGATTTTCAGCCATAACCCTGAACTCATACTCTTGCCCGATTTTGAGATTGCGGACTCGGCAGAAAGGAACTGTGCAGAAACTGCTAACCTGTTTTCAAAAGATGAAATACATAAGAAATAACAGTGATACAATGCTGGAGGATTCAAGAGTTCTTGGTATGAGAAAGTGTAGATAAAGCTTATATGTATAGTGCGGTTAGGATGGATCTCAAACTTGATGTAAAAGTTTTGGAGGTTGGATCAGTCGGTTAACAAAAGGCAATGTTGAGGTCATTTTGGAGTTAAAAACGTAACAAGGAGCTTTGACAATTTGTGTGGGTGGTTTTGTTTGGAAGAATTGGATATGTCCAATGGCTTGTCAGCTATAAATGGCTTGGCAGATATGTCCAAAATGGTCGCAGTAATTGTATACAGTTAGTTGAATTTTGTTGGTCAAAACAGATTCCAATCCTAAAAGTCTTAGTAGATTACAAATCTTCTGTTAAGTTGTCATCACTTATGTCTTTTGTGGAGATTCCAAATCAAAATAAAGTCCTAAGCATTGAACTTCAATGGAAGTCAATAGCTCATTGTTATTTTCTTTTTCACTGGAAGGTTGGTGTGGAAGTTGTGACAGCAGGATCAATTATTTGGCAAATGGTATCATACGGTAATACGTTAAATATGTAGAAGAGATGAGAATCATTTTGATAACTTTCAAGGCTTAGATCAGTTGAATATTAGATGGCCTGATGCCCCACAGTTCAGCTCTGTCCAAACTATGGCCAGCACTCTTAGGACAAACCAGACAATGCTGATGTTCAATATGAGGGATTAATAAGACGGTTTCAAGGCCATCGTATTTTATCAAGGTGATATCGTGAGTTCTACAGGATGGGAAGTAAAAAGATGAGCAGTAGGGTTAGGATGGAGATGCTGGTGTTGAAATGGAAGCTTTAATGAATGTAATGTTAAGGTGTGAGGTTAGAGACGTAGTAGCTTTGATGGATTTGATGCTCTGGACATAAGTAGCATGGCAGAACAGTTCCATAGTGTGCCCAAGTGGCCAGATTTTGGTCTTAAAAGTCTTCATAGGTGTCCAAATTTTCTATTAAGTTCTAGTATTCCATGTTAGTCTGCTCACTAGTACAAAGTATCTGGTTTGAGTGTAAGTCGGTAGCTTGTTGTTAATATAGAGGGGATGGCAAGACTGTTTTTTCACCATAAATACTGAGTTTTCCCCATTCAGTACTGACCTCCATTTTTTGCAACAGTCTTTGATTAGCTCTAGGTTTTCTTGGATGTTGGAGTTTGCTTGGTTAGGATTCGAGTTAGAAGGTGAAATTGTGGTATCATCAGGTAATGATTGGGATGACAATGAAATACCACCTACCTTTGCCCATGTCGAAGATCTATTTTCTCTCTTTTCAACGATGTAATTTGATACATCGACACCTCCGTTATCTTTGGGCGGATTCCAGTATAATGTCAGAGCATCTCCGCCAAATTCATCTGCTCGCAAATCTTCTGGTGGTGATGGTCGATCGAGAACTTTAACGTGCAGAGTTGCCGTATCGAAACCGTGTTGATTTTTCAACTGTAATCTGTATTGTCCAGTGTCTGATCTCAGAGCGTTTTTGACAATAAGACTTGCAGAGTTTGGAGTTAACTGCAAAATCGCATCGGATAAGTAAATTCATTTGAATTAACAACATGTTAACATACTTGTTTATAAGCTCGTTCACTATCAGTCAAAGGTGCATCATTAATTAACCACATTGCGGTCGGTTGAGGGAATGCAACATATGGAATGTGAATTGAAAAATCTTCTCCAGCTCTGACGGTTATATCTCTCACACCTCCTAAGTCCATGCAAGGCTTGTTAGGTTGTTCTTCGACAACAACATTGATACTTGGTCTGCTAGGGTTGGATGGTCCGACCGAATTAACCGCAATTAATCGGAATTGATAATCTTGACCTTCTTTCAAATCAGTAACCTGTAAACATTTAAGATGAAGAAATACCCATTTATAAACATAGTTATATTAATAAGGTTTAATTCTCTAATATTATGGTAAATTATTTTTAATAGTGACTGGATCATCTTGGCAAAATAGTGCTGGTTGTGTAGGGCCTAGGCACATAAGGGAGGATAGTAAAAAGCTCGGTGAGCCGGGTAAGGCGACCTCACCACCACGAACTGGCTCTGAGATGCTAAAATGCAATAAAATATCAGCATCAGTGGGTCTGATTGGCATGAAGGTTCCTATTCATCAAGAGCATGGACGATAGGGGCCTTCAGAGGATCTCAATCATAGAAGAAAGATCATCCTCACCCGATTAAGATTAGGCTATGTGAAGTTCACGCACAGACACTTACTTATGAGCCAGCACGTGGCTCCATATAGAGAGCATGTAGGATTGCCACCCAACATGACAATTGTGTTTGAACACAGCAGGGTTTGGGTCCCCTGTTCCAGTTTTTGGAGGAAAACTGCTTTATTGTATGTAATACTGATAGACATATCAATTTATGTTCTTGTTATGCACACACTGACTAAAATGACTAGGCCACTTAGGCTGGGATGTCCCATCCTCAGAACCAGACAACCACAAATTCAATCCTCAGATGCCACAAATGTTATAAAAATATGGTCACAAGGTAAAGGAATGACAGAAAAGGTGCTGAGTATCAAGAGCACTGTCTCCTTCACAACAGTATGTGTCCTTGAACATATAGGTTAACAAAAATGAGGATGAGGAGGCCTAGGCTGAGATCTCCAGACCTGACCACCGCGATCTGGCCCTCAGATGACAAAAATGCAATAAAAAATATGATATTGGGTTGTCCGGAAAATAATGCAGGATTTTGGTATTAAACAAAAAAAAAGAAACTAGTTACTTTAAAGCAATGTTCTTTAATCAAAATAATTTCCCATACTCTCAATACATTTCTCCCAACGTGTTGGTAACTTATTAATTCCGTCTGAGTAGAATTCAGAATTTTTAGAATTGATAAAGTCAATAAATGCATTTTCCAGT